GACCGACATGGCACATTGATTGCCGCGCCGTCGACTCGCTGTCGCGAAGCTCCAAGTGCCTCGGTGGTGTGCAAGTCGGAAGCATCAAGCATGGCGCCTTCCATAGCTTTGTCCAAGCCGTTCATCAGCACGGTGTAGGGTCGTCCTCTCGACCGGGTTGGCGTTGCAAGGACTACGTCCTGGAATTGCTCGAGATGTTGAGGACGTACGGCTCCATGCATGTCCAGCATCTGAGAGTGGAGGTGTTCCTACCAGCCCTTCGGGAAGCCAGCAGAAGGACCTACGCACAATCAGTCGCAGCCGGAAGATGTGTACCGCACGTAACATGGCTGTGACAATTCGCAATAGATGCCAATGGTACTTGACGGTAAGTTAGGGCGAATAGACCTCATTCGATGGGCGGAGCGGCATCCCAGCGACGTGGAGCTGTACGAGGGATATGGGCGCATCTGTGGAGACGGGCTATCCGCAAACTGTACATAGTATATTTGCTGGCTGTTGAAGGGCCTCGTCCATCGTTTCGCGTGGTTGCATTGGAGATCCATTGGTGGGAGCATCTTGGGATGATCAAGACTGGAGGCGAACAAGGATGCCATTCCAGGCCAGCTTGATGTGCTGTCCCTGAAGTGCTGCGATGTGCACTGTCGCCGAGTGATACTCGAAGTCTGGAGATAGCCGAAATTCATCCTGAAAGATGCTAAGGTGTATCACTGTCAACTTGACCAGGTTAGAACGGTCAGATTGCCACTCCTTGTCGGTTAAGTCACAGATCCTGCTCAGAGCTTGACTTGATATCTGGATATCTTGATGACAGAGTGCGCGCTCTTGTAGCCTGCATGCTGGGATGAGTCGTACAGCACATGCCTCCAATATGATCTGGTGTAACAGTCAGATAAGAAAATATCAATGATGTCGTAGAGTCAGGAACGAACGCTGGATGGACTTTCTATATGCGTACCATAATGCAACTATGCAATCACATCATCTTCAGGGCACATCGCAAGTGGGGCGGTCGCCAGACCATCGGCAACTTCAGCGAACAAGTATCTGAGCACCTTTACTCAGCAATGCCATGCAAAGTAAAAGATGCTGATGGCCCATTCGCCGCCAGGTCGGATTAGCATCTGCGATAATCCAACACGTAAACCACGAGTAGTTCATATTTCCTCGGAGGTTTTAGTGCAAAGATGGTCTTCTCCGGACCCACTAGGACAGTGCGAGAAAGAGGTGGACTCAATGCTAAGGCTTGTCTGCGGCGGCGGCTAGGGATTCATCATGCGCTGACGATGGACCAGTTCGTGGGTGAAGCTGCGTTGGTTGGCAGCTCAATGGTAGCGGGAGGAGCCAGTGTGACAGAAGAAGTCAAGCCCAGGCTATGCAGAATACCGGACCTTGTTCCACTGTCTGATGTAAGGTGAGATGATCAGCTCAACGTTCTGCCGGTTGGAGATGCTCGGGAGTCGGATGCGATAGCTTCGAAAACCTGGATTGTAAGCCTATCGCGTTCGGTGTTGCAATGCGGAGAGAAGATGCGTATGTACCCATCGTTCAATCCCACGGAAGTCTTGTCTTTCCGTAATCGCCTTGAGTCGCTTGCGGAATACCGGGATGCGACTGGAACCAAGAAGAGCACAATCTGGCACGACCGCCCAAAAACTGGCCCTGCCGTTCCCTCCGCTAGGTCATCGGAATATGAAGATTGACGATATCTAGAGCGACAAGTGCCCTTGGTCACCGCGGTTCCGGCGACGTATGATGTTGTTGTGATACTAGAAAACACCAATCAATTCCATGATGTGTTGCAGCCGAGTATATAGCGAAGCAATGACCTTGTGCTTGTAGACAGCGGCCATCTGATGCTTCGGTAGTCTGCAGAACAAATTTAAGACCGAGCGTCGGGCAGATCATCCGCGCCGCGAATCAGATATTGTGATGACGCGGGAAATTGGAATAGACAGAGCCGCTCCGCTGCAAGAAAGACCGACTTCTGTATACGGCTGTGTATCACCGGTACTTTCGGCTACGTATGGCAGATGTGGATATGCATCAGCATGAATAAGGACAAGTGATAGATGAGAACAACAGATCAGGCGTACTAGATATATTCAGCCAAGCGACCGACTTTGTGATCATTCCAGTACCACCCTAGGCAGTAGCAAACTCGGAGGCAGATGATTCGGAAAAGCTGATTTAACATCTCGTCATCAATGGCTGTGAACAAGCAGCTGTGAAGCCATATTTTCCCCCGGGCCAGACTTTATGTACCTTATTTCCAAAAAATCTTTCACTGTAAGTGCAATGATGATACGCACAACGTTTCCCTGATGCAGAGTCTTGCAGGCTAACTGAGGAAACGGACGGGAAGCCAAGCTCAAGCGGACTAACCCTCCGGCAACTGCCGACTGGCTTCCAGCTCTTAGCGGTTCTTCTACACACAATGCGTACTGAGTACTGACCCTGGATTTCATTGCACTTGCCTGAAGACAGGCTTATTCATTAGAAGACAGACTGCATCTATGTGAACGCTACAGTACAGCAGCCTTGCCTTGTGACTTCTTGTCCAGCTCTGCCGCAACATCCATCAGGATAATCAACGCCTTGTCCACCACCCAGTGTTTCTCCTTATCCCGTGCATCCGCCGCCTCGTCGTGGCCTTGTTCCTCAACGTTGTCTTCGTTTTCCTGGACCCAGAATTGCTCTGCTCTGCTCCCTACATTGTTTCCGAATTTCCAGCGACACCCAATCCAGACTTCGCCCTCTCGACCTGGTGGTCCCCCGTTCAGGAAGCCCGTCGTGCTGATCGCGATGCCTTGCCCATTTATCTCGAGTATCCCACCGTCCTTCATTGCTCCCTTCGTCATCGCCAGTGCACACTCCTTGCTGACCTCTCCTGGTCCCTTCTGCTCGTCCAATATTAATGCATCTACACTGAGCAACCTCTGTTTGACTGGATTCGAGTAGGCGATTATTCCTCCCAATAGCATAGTGGGCGACTTAGTCCGAGATGACAGAGCCGAGGCCAGTGCGCCTGAAGTGCATGATTCGGCAGTGACGACAGGGAGTGAGAGTCGCTCCAGAATGCGCAGAAGACTGTGTATGCGGTGATGTGCTGTTTGCATGTTGCAGTGACGAGGCTCGTTTCCGGAAAGCCTGCTCGATGCTCGCCATTTTATGCTCGCCCGGACGTCTTGGCTGCTTCTGCGCTCGAGGATGCGGATCACCAATGAGGTAATTCCCGCATGATGCATGAAGTCCCGCCGTCAGCGGTCCACCCCGCAATGACGCCACGCGTCGCGGTACGCGTTAATATTGTCAAGCGACGCAGATTTGTGGCCGGCACCTGAAAGCACTACAAAATGCATTCCATTGCAAAGCACACGACAACATGGACAACAATTGCAATAAAAATCGCCATATCAGTGTAGTCTATCCCAATCGCCGGGCATGCCACCTTGTCTACCCATCCCGCGTCGTCTGGGGCCGCCTTGGCCCCGCAGATCTTCGCGACCGCCAGAAGAAACCATGATGTGTTTGTCAACGAGCTATGAAGTGCCGCATGTAAGTAATGATGCGGACCTGATAGACGAGCACACATACATCATTGAGTATATTTGCGGATTTCGTCAACGTCGATAGGTACGCAGTAAGTTGTACATCGGCGTATTCCTGCCCATACGATGTTAGGATGAAGATCGACCTGCTGGTAAGGCAATACACGTACGGTATCGAACTCCTCTCTGAACCCCGGGTTTTCGCTAGCTGGGAGAGAAGCAACTAAAGCAGAAAGCGCACGTAGCGCGACATGATCTTTAGGTGCTTGACCTATAGACCAGTTAATCGCAGGATCTCGTAGGCATATAAGCGGTAGTTACATACCTGCAAGGACGCTCGTCACGTATTGTACAAGCACCAGGATCCGGTCATGTAGCATCTTGACTGCTGCCCTCTGAGTCTGAAGATGCGACTCCACTGCAAGGAGGTTATGGACGTCAGAAATCGCAAAAGACGGGAATTTGCGTACAGCTAGTGCCACCCTCTCCACCTCTCGCAGTCCAATCTACAGCTATTCGTTCCGCCTCACCCGTCTCTACATTGTACGGCGCCTCCAGGAAAACCCATCTCGTCTTCCTGTCTCGAATCTCGATCGTCGGCTCGTACGCTTTGAATGGTAGTGTTTGCGCAGTGACGTTCGTTGAAGAGCCAGCACTTGTGCCGGCTGCTGTAGGTTGGAGAAGGAGGAGAAGGGGTGTCGAAGTGTAGCTTGTAAACTAGGAACACATGCATAAGGGAATGTGGGAATCGCATCAGCTGACGTGCCACTCACTTGCTCATGTAGGGCTACGTGTCGAGAGGTAGGTTCTGGAGCCACGCTATACCACCCGATAAACTCTAGCGATGGGAACACCTGCTTGTCTGACGGGAGGATCAAGTATCAGTTTAGATCCTCGGTCAATAGGAATGTATGCGCACACTGGTCCCTCCTGGAGACCAGGAAGCCGTGATCGACACTGTCGCCTTCCTCGTGCGCAAGTTCAAACGTATTGACAATCTCGATCTCTCGTCCATTCTGCGTTCCCAGCAGTGCGCCCAGCACTGAATGATCCGCGTAAGCCAGAGCACACGGACGTCGACTTTGCTGAAGTACTTGCCAAAAGGTGCATTCGAGTTCGTCTGTAGCTTCAGACGCGTCCAGTGTTCCGATATGTTCAGGATGGGAAGAGGGTGTCTGCATCAATCAGAGTTGAATCTGGACGTCCGCTCCCAGTGCTCAAGAACGCACAGTGCCAATGACAGACCGGAAGATGTCGTGCTTGAAGGCAATACCACAGAAATCTCGTCGGTATCCATGGCACTCATGATCTACACTCGACAGTATGAGGACTAGCTCTGGTCGAAAGACTCGAAAGCCGATCAAGGAAATGTGGCGCTGGAGGCGGGACTGGAGGCGGAAAGGCCACCACAATTCATGCTCAAAAAGTCGAGCCATGTCTGCTTCTGAATTCCCACAAGCCGACTCGAACGACTGACCTCGACATTGCAGACGTAATACGTACTAGTGTCGCGCTCTACCAACTGAGCTATGCGGGAATGCAAAATAGGTAATATTCAAAATATATCATAGAAACAAACTGCAATTTGTGGGCGGCGGCCGACCAGATGCACTCAACTGCGCATCCGAACTGGAATTATCATTACACCTACTCACTACCGGTATAGTTTACAGTCCAAAAGTAATTGAGTGGTGTTCCGTCTGACAAGCCCAATGTCAAAATGTCAAACAAGTAGTATACGTAGCCGCTACTTAGCTGTTGGTGCAGGTGGCGCGTATATGCCTGCCCTAAACTCGTGACTACTCGCGTCAATTAGCGCGTCGTACGCGTTGCGAGTTTGCCATCCCCTCACTATACCATCACCATGTCTGGCTTCGACGCGAATCGCATTTACTCCGTCTCCGTTCATGACCAGCTCGCCCCAACATCTCCTGATTCACCGGCTGGGACAGAGAAACTTCTCCTTGACTTCTTGCTGCAGTATCGTGTCGGAGGAGAGTTCATCTACAGGCAAGTTCCTTATTGCGTACCCAGCATTATGCTTTTAACCAACTTTGCGACCTAGGGATCAGCTTCGGGCGAATCTTCTCCTCAAGCATTACCAGCTGGAAATTGACCTCCGTCATGTCGGCCTGTACAATGATGAGCTAGCCCACGCCGTGCAGGATAGGCCCGCAGACGTGTTACCACTGGTGAGTACTGTTCTGACTATTCATGTTTCTCTCGAGATTTACCCAATACCAGTTTGAAAGTGCGGCGACCACCGCTGCGCGTACTATATTATTCCCTTTGGCAAGCGGTTCCGATGGGATGACTGAGATCGCCCAGTCAATACCCAGCATCCAGATCGTCATCAAGTCTGGCCTGAACTTGCAGCACTTCCGTGACTTGACAGCGAATGCCATGAGCAAACTGGTCCGCATTCCCGGAATCGTCATCTCCGCGTCAGTCCTCACTTCCCGTGCGACGAAACTCCACCTTCAATGTCGAGCTTGTCGTTCTACCAAGATCATCCATCCACAAGGCGGTCTGGGGGGCATAGGCGGTGGCTCAGAAAGGGGCTTGCCTCGAGTCTGTGACGCGCCGGAGCTTCCAAACCAAAAGAAAGACTGTCCTCTCGATCCTTACATCATTGTCCACTCCAAGTCGTCCTTCTCCGACCACCAAGTTCTGAAACTCCAAGAGGCGCCTGACATGGTGCCTGTTGGTGAACTTCCCCGGCATATTCTCCTCTCTGCGGACAGATATCTGACCGGCAGAGCCGTTCCTGGTACAAGGGTGGTCGCAACCGGCGTGATGTCGACCTATCAGCCCGCGAAAAGCGTAGGACTTTCTCGCTTCGGACTTTCTTCAATACTGACCTTCTTCTCCAGAGGGGATCAAATAACGGGACTTTGCGACAAACGTATTTGAAGCTCGTCCACCTGGAGCTATCTTCAGCTGCAGGCGGAGGAGGCGGGTCGAATCCCTTTGGAGTCCAGTTCACTCCAGAAGAGGAGGAAGAATTCGGAGAAATGGCAAGAAGTGATGGATTCTACGAGCGGTTTGCCAGAAGTGTTGGTCCTAGTATATACGGAAGTCTAGGTACGTATGCAGGGTTTGGAGATCTACACGGACTCATCCGCGTCTCATAGATATCAAGAAGGCTATTACGTGTCTGTTATTCGGAGGTTCCAAGAAGGTCCTTCCAGACGGCATGCGACTACGAGGGGACATCAACGTTCTGCTTCTGGGAGATCCGGGAACGGCGAAGAGTCAGTTACTAAAATTTGTCGAGAAGGTACATTCCATCTGCTCATCAAAGACCTGATAGTTCACGCACAAATATAGGTCGCGCCAATTGCTGTCTATACATCTGGCAAGGGATCTAGTGCTGCCGGTTTGACGGCGGTTGTCCAGAGGGACCCTACTTCCGTGAGTATGACAGTACATGCTGGAACTCCTTTCTCACAGCCATACAGCGGGAATTCTATCTGGAAGGCGGTGCCATGGTCCTGGCAGACTCGGGGGTGGTGTGCATCGACGAATTCGACAAGATGAAGGATGAAGATCGAGTGGCTATTCACGAGGCTATGGAGCAGCAGACAATATCGATTGCCAAGGCGGGCATCACCACAGTGCTCAATTCTCGTACCAGCGTCCTCGCAGCTGCTAACCCTGTATGGGGCCGCTATGATGAAGGCCGGAGTCCTGGGGAGGTAGATGTTTCTGTCCCCGTTTCGATAGTTTCTCTTTCTCATATCACTTGCGACAGAACATTGATTTCCAGACAACGATCTTATCGCGTTTTGATATGATCTTCATCGTGAAGGACGAACATAACGAACAGCGGGACAGGGTGCGTGGCGGCATGCCGTACTGCTATCGGTAGTAAACTTGACATCGCACTTGCCAGATGATTGCGAAACACGTTATGAATATCCATATGAACCGCCCGAACCAGAACGCTGACGAAAACGGCGAGACTGTTGGGGAGATCGACATCGACAAGATGAAGAGATACATCGCCTTCTGCAAAGCGTGAGGGAGCTACCTTATAGCACCGTCCGACTTCCGTTTGACGACCGAATTTTATCAGCAAATGCGCTCCGCGGCTATCCGCTGAGGCTCAGGAGAAGTTAAGCAGCCACTTTGTAGACCTGCGGAAGCAAGTGCAACAAGTCGAACGAGACAACGATGAACGTAGCTCCATTCCCATCACAGTTCGGTACGCCCAATTTTGTACTTCGGTCCCGGACGCTTGGTGCTGATGACCATCTTGATCCTCTGATCAGGCAACTGGAAGCTATTATACGAATATCCGAATCACTGGCGAAGATGACATTGTCCCCAATGGTGAAGAATCACCACGTTGACGAGGCCATCAGGCTGTTCAAGTTCTCGACTATGGACGCTGTCTCCGCCGGGTCGGTTGAGGGTCTCTCCCGAGGAGCATTGCATGACGAGATGAACCAGATCGAGAAGGAGCTAAGGCGCAGGCTCCCGGTTGGGTGGAGTACCAGCTACCAAAGCCTCGTGAAAGAGTTCGTCACGCAACAAGGATTCTCCAGCCACGCGCTCGAGCGGACATTGTTCGTCTTGGAAAAGAGGGAAATCATCAGATTTTCTGGCCAAGTACGTTCTCTTCTTGTGCCCAGGCGATTGTAACCAACTTAACTATCTTTCATCTCCGCAGAAAAAGGTCGTTCATAGGTTCGTCTCCTCTTCTGTTTGTTCTCGACCAGTCATAACTGACATAACTTGGACTACAGGGTTGGCGTATAAGTTTATTCCGCTTCGCGTCTTGTATATATTTCTCGGGATCCTGCTGCATATGTATTCTAGATTCCTACTGCTGTTGTATGACCAAACGGATTGATGATTCACTTGCGATTAACTCATGTCACATTTGTATGACATGAGTCCTTGAGAGGCAACTCCTTTCTGCCCGCCTAGCGCGATCTAAAGGCTGCGAGTTCGACGCTCGCGGTGGGCTAGCAGTTTAGTCGTACACCTTTCTACAAGTGAGAAGTCATTAGTCAAGATTCTTCGAATGCTACCTCCGCTTACATTGCTTTTTGCTGGAGTAGCTTTAAAGTCATGCAGTGGTGGCTGAAGCATTTGCCAACCTCAGTCTTGAACGACGCATCTTACTGCGGAAGTTGCTGCAGCGCAGCAAGACATGACGCATGGGGTTGGTGCACAGGTATAAAGTTGTGAAAAATATACTAGCCCACCGCGAGGGTCGAACTCGCAGCCTTCAGATCACCTAGTCATAAGAGTCTGACGCTCTATCCGATTGAGCTAGGCGGGCGATATAGACGTTCCCCTCCCATGGTTTATGATGGTTTGAGCTCCTTTTGGCTACAATAATACATATTGCAAGATCTCCAGGAGAAACATACACCTGATTGGAAAACCAGGTCTTTACCAGGTCTTTCATGATATCCGCCCGAACCTGTGCAGAAAAATCTGTACCAGTGTCAAACAGTGTGCTACAGATGGATTAATCGTAGGACATCTTCGTGTCCTTTACTGTAGGGAAACACTGATCGAGCTTGCTGCTGAGTGTGACACCGTCAACCTCAATGCGCCGCCCAATGAACACCAGTCACGCGTGACGAATCGTCAAACTCCCCTGTCGCCACGGATTCTTGCCGATCCCAGCATTTCGCTACCGCTTGACTTTTTCGCTGAAGTTTCCCCTTACTTCTCTTATAGAATTACGAGGCACGAGAGATTGCATCCTTCCGTGAAAACAGCGCCCGAAAATCTTCACTACCGAAGAAGGTACGAGCCCAGCACTGTCAAATTCCCCGCGACGCGTGGTAATTAGTACTTCACCGCCACCCCGTGCACCCGAGCCCTGGATCAAGCACTTCCGCAACTGCGGACAGTCGCCGAGATGGTACAGTCAAGGTTTGCATCCTGGAGAAACGAGACGGAATCAATCGGACGGGAGGTGTGCAGAAACTCCACGAGAGCGTAACGATGGCGCTCTAGAGTTTCCCCGCCTGCGACCAAAATGTACGTACAGTATGAAACACAGCAATAGGCTTTATTTGATGGCGTCTGGCGGGAAGGGCAGAGGGTGATTGCTGGAAGGACACGAGGGTTAACGTTGTGATGTGGACTGCGAAATCATCAGAGCCAAGCCTGAGCTTTACTGCACACGAAAAGAGAGCAGATGTTGAGAGCACCGCACTGCCCGTTAATATCTTGCTAACCCGAACAGAGGCAAGTCCACGACACGTTAGAACTCGCCGCATTGATCCGCTTCAGAGTGTCATCACAGGTACCCTGTGCCCATGTGTTCTCGCGATGTTCGGTGAGGTATCCTTTCGCTGCGAAGTGCCACATCCTGTATTCGCCCTATTATTCATATTCACTGAGTCGTACTTCTTCAGGAATGAATTGTGCTGGGAATTGCTTCCTGTGGATGCCTTGGCAACCACGGGATTCTCCCTGGCTCAGCTGGTCTTCATTGAACGGATGACGGCGGGGCAAATGGCGCCCTACGAAAATAGGTTGTGGTAATTCATCTACTTCATGCATGAA